TCCTCACTGCCAGGATGCAGAGAATTAATCATCATATATCTTTATATAAGAACGAGATAATAATAATGTCTGGGGGGGGGGGGGAATCTGCAGTCCAATCTTCTCATGGAAACACTGTTATCGACACAGAAACACTGCAATGTTTCCACGTAGATAACGCTGTAGTCCTCTGGGTCTCTTTGACATTCACACTGCACATTTAGTAAGTGTCCTGTGTCGCTAAACAAAGAGCTGATAAACATTAAATTTAACCTGAATTATACCTCAGCCACATTTTGATTAACATCTGAGTGCAGACAATACCAAATCAAAAACTTAAAAAAAAGTGTGGAGACATTTTAGAGTCGGACAGTTAGGAACAACTCATGGATGATCACAGTTTCACAGTATTTTTTATAACAGAAGAACATGTGCCAAACCTTTCTACGTACCTCAACGACAGGCATCTGGACGTGTGCACAATGTTCCTATCCTAAAATGTCACCGTTATTTTGTGTGAGCAGCAACATTACTATCTGTGTTTACACTGTAGTACTGCTACCTTTACTTACGTAAAAGATCCAAATACTTGAGCTGTTCAATCTTTCGAGATCTACATACGTGGATGTGTCACTGTAATCTTCATGCAGGTGTTTAAGAAAAAGCATGAAGATTTCATGTGGAGGGACTCGGGAGCATTTTGTCAGGTTTATGCAGCTTTAAAAAAATTGATTGGTTGATTCTCAGTGCTCTCGTCAGCCGTGGGTTTATCTGTGAACGTGCGGTAGATGCCCAGCAACACGGGCAAACTGTGTGTTTCACTTTATAGAAACTTGGTACTATTAAAAGTTCACATATATGCTGAATTTTATCAGGTAGACACAAACACAGCTCCAAATGATCCCAAAGTTGCCTCATGTCTGCTGGTTATATAAATTAGCAGTATTGGTACAGCCATGTGTGTACTTTGCTTACATATTATGTTTACTTCTGCAAAGTTGACAGAAAAATGTGAAAAAGATTAACGTTCACTAAACCTGCTAAGCTTTTTTACATCTTCCCAGAAACTGAGACGAGCTCCCATGTTGGAAGTGTCTTGCTCATGTGGTAATATTGGTGTCCGAAGGGTGTTTCTTGTGTTTTGCATTGCTTAAAAACAATGAATATTTTACCATTAATCTTTTTCTTTGGCAAAAATCACAGTAAACATGATTTTGCACAGAAATACATGACAATAGCTTGCTTTGGATTGTAATGCATTCTACCAATCCTTAATGTAAAGCTTCTCTTTTCCCCACCCCAGTATCAGACTGATAGTAACAGAGCTACACATCCATAAATGGTTATAGGAGCAGTGGTATTCAGGATGCTACAGTATGTGTAATATTTTCCAACTATTGTGAGAGTAACCTGCCTGTCATCATTACAAACAGCAGGACACATGCTTTGCCCAGCGCTTTGTGCTTTTATATGGTTTTAAGTTGAGCAGCCTTGGTCTCAGTTCGGAAACCCTCTTCAGAGCTGATGGGCACACTCATAATTTAAAGGTGAAGTATAAATATTAATGATACGGCTCATTCAGAAGGACACTCTTCCACCAAGGATGTCCTGTGCTACTGGGATGAAGCCCAAAGGTAAAAAAAACCAAAAAAAACCCACTAGTGATGGAACAAAAAGTTCACCTATTCAAATATTTATCTGAACAAAGGGTGGCAGAGGGGTGCAACGCAGTTGGTGATGCTGGTGCTGATGAGTGTGCGTGACAGTGAGGGATCACATCAGCAAAGGCGATGAGGGGATGATGATGAGCTGGAGGAGGACAAGGGTGAGGGGGCGGGGTGATGCCTTTAGGTGCAATGCTGTTAGATGAGAATAACGCATCTAACTTAGCGGCTACTGATGCAACTGGAAGTGTCGCATAATCTTAGAGGGGTTGTGTTTTAAGGAGACGGAAGCACATAAAGATGGAGGTGTGCGTGTGTGTGTATGCACAAATTATAAAGCCAGTTACTTATGTGACATTTCCTTCACTACATGTCCTTTTATAGATGTAAGTTTATTTTACCCTGGAGGCTGCAGGCATCAGTCCTAGGGGATATGAGTTATGTCACATGTTGCCAAAAGAAACGAACCGAGACAAATTAGATTAATTTAACTATTAATTAACAACACTTAGCAACATTTTATTTTGTCCACTGAAAGCCATGTTCGCTGCTTTCGGGTAACTGCCTGGGAACAGGAGGACACTAACAGGGCAGGCGGTCTATTTGGGGATAAGGCAAATATGCCCCGAAAAATTAAACATGCCCTACAGTAATTCTTCAGAGATGAAGATGTAATATAAATTGAAGCCCAACCCATAAATGACCTTATCTGCAGTGATTGGATTTAAACATGCCACAGTTTGTCACTGCTTTATGTAATCGTCAAACTGTCACCTTCCCTCAGGGTGAACAGACCCTGCTGCAGATTTCAACTTGACAATCAATCCAGTGCGCACCTGCCTGCTCTCCTACTTATTCATCACCATTAAGTGTTGGAATAATGTACATGTATTTCTACACACGTGCATCTGCAGCTGTACCACAGGTATACATATGTAATACATACATCTTTATTTTTTTCTTGAAGACAAACACATGAATTATGCAGCGTTTCTACTAGTTTCCTGTAGCTCTAGTTGAGAGAAGCACTATCTTTAATACACATCTAAGTGCGTGTGTGTGCGTTTTTAAACAATTTCCTTCTGGTTTCTCCTCCTCACTGCCAGGATGCAGAGAATTAATCATCATATATCTTTATATAAGAACGAGATAATAATAATTTAGCATCTGAGTGGGCACAGCAGCGGCATTTCTCATTCTTGAGAGCCAACACACATGCGTGGAAAGTCAGATTCATTATACTGCGAATGTGAAGAGAAAGAATGTGTTTTACATTTTATTTCAATCTTACGAGATATCCTACAGCTGATATCTGTTCGGATTTATAGAGTAGACGCACGCAGGCGCGCTCAGCCTCTGTGTCTATATTAAGGTCTCACCTGGTGCCTGGATGACCTGCGCGAGCCAAATGACGGCGACCAGCCCGACTCCACAGCAGCAGAACCGCTGGAAGGGCCGCCGGTGCCTCGCTGCAGCTTTCATTCCTCAGCCGGCCGCATATCCACCAGAAACATCTGTTGCTCTCTTTTACTTGTTTCACACTTTTACACCGCAAGAAGCTCCGAACAAACCGCCAGCAGTAGCAGGAGCAGAAAACGACTTCTCTGACAAGTTGTGTCAAAAAAAGAAAAAGAAAATCCCCGCAAACGACAAACCCGTTTTTTTTTTTAAATTTCCCCTCTCCAGGCTCAGAGGAGACGTTTTGCTGGTAAACTCATCCAAAGGTCCGGGTCGCACATAGCGAGGAGAGGCGCAAAAAAGCTTTCTGCCTTCATGTGTACAGTGTGAAAGGTCGACAGCAGATCCCACAGTGAGCTGCAGCAACAGGAGGCGACATGCTCTGAGCCCTGTGTGCCTTCACTCTGCCTGTCTGCTCACGCTGTGGGCTTCCCCCGTGCGGCCACCAGGCGACGACAAACGCAGCAGATGACATGTGGTTGATATTTCCACTTTTCCGAGCTGCAAGCTGTGGCTTATTAAAGCAAAACACTGCAAGGTGTGACGGACACCTCTCCAGAAGAACTGTATGATTTAACGTCCCCTGGGGCAATGCTCTGTCTACACCTGATTGGCTGAGCGCACCTGGTTCACCTAATTACGGGGGTGCAAAGCGGGGAATGATGGAAACTGGAGCCGAATGCGTTACAGTATTTTAAATAATCGCTTTCACATACAGGGAACCTTGAAGCGGCTCTAAATATTTTCTTTCTTGTACTTGTTTTTAATTTGAAATGTGCAAAAAAACAACAAACTTAAAACAGAAGATAACCTGACCTTAGTGCATCTCTTTTTAAAGAGAGACCTGGCAAAGAGAGCAGCAGAAGTTACAACAAATTTAACACATTCTAATAATAACAAGTGAAGAAACAAACACATTGCATATTCAGTACATTCAATTATTTTTCTTTAAAGGTACAGTGTGGAAGATTTCGCCACTAGATGTCAGTAGATTGCAGATTGCAGTCAACTGAATTCTGTTTTCCTCTCAGCTCAGTTACATAATCTTATCTACTGTAGTCGCTCTAGGAAAAACAAATCTGGTGAATGTAGGCTTTAGGTCTGCTGTTTATTCAGCCAGTGTCCATGTCTATTTACGC